TGCTCAATCTTAAAGCATTCATGAACAGCTTTCATTTGATACCCATACTGAACAAATATACCCAAGGTTACCCAGGTCCACGTTTTGGTCTATATCTCGAGACCCTAGTCACCCAGCTATATGAAAAGTGCTCAATCTTAAAGCATTCATGAACGGCTTTCATTTGATACCCATATTGAACAAATACACCCAAGGTTACCCAGGTCCACATTTTGGTCTATATCTCGAGACCCTAGTCACCCAGCTATATGAAAATTGCTCTATCTTAAAGCACTCATGAACAGCTTTAATTTGATACCCATATTAAACAAATACATCCTAAGGTTACCCGGGTCCACGTTTTGGGGCCACGCCCCCTTTATATATCAAAATATTTTTTACCCTGTGACCATCCCTGGAAGATATCCAGTGCGTGTGTAAAATTTGGTTACGATCGGCTTATTCGTTTAGGAGCCAAGTGTGTCTATAGGTACATACATAATTTGAATTTTATATATATAGATTATGCTCTAAAAAATATCTGTGTGCAATTTGAAAGTTTTTGGTCAATATCCTAGGCTCGCCCAAGTCCATCAAAGTGCAAGTACTAAAAAAATGTTTTTCTTAGCTAACTTCGATTGTCTACAAAAAAGGTCCATATACCTAATTATGTAGGACTAATACTTTAGAAGATTATTGCAATTTTAGTAAAAAATGTATTACTTAATTTATTTATTAATTTCTATTTTTGGGCCATATTGAACTTTGATGGACTTGGGCGAGCCTAAGATATTGACCAAAAATTGCTATATTTCACACAGATTGTTTTTAGAGCATAGTGAACCATATTTTTGCTATTACCAATCAAAATTCTAAAAAAAAGCAGATTTTCGGCCCACGTTAGTACACAAATGACTCACGAATGAGACGCACCGTCTATGGGGCCTATTAGCGACGTGCAAAACTTTACACCAATTTTGTAATAAAGTCCATAAGCTATATTTGTGAAAATACCAAGTCTCGCCTTGTGATAAATACCTAACATCATTTCTTGTTAATAACTGACCACCATCGATTCTCTAAAACATTGTTCACATGGGGCGATGTTACAGGCAAATTTTAGTTGAAAGCAACAGGCGCCTGGTGTAACCGGCCGTTCAACTAGTCGTTTCGAATGACGTTTAGGGGCAGCCAATTTTTTATTTAACTATTCACCTTTAAAATTGCCTGCAAAATCGCCTCATGTAAACACCGTATAATAGTTAGCAAGTGGCGAAACGAACGAAATTAAAGAGGCACAACCAAATAACATAGATAATAAAGACTGGTTTACACTATGTCATATTTAGACGCCAAAATTTGTCAACATATTTCGATACAACTTTGTCTCCTTTATCCATACCTTTACTGATGATATTATGGGCAAAAAACAGACAGATAGCCGATATAGCAGCGCATATAGATGACCAAAGACTTCCGCTATAACAACAACAACAACCAAAGACCTGTCCCGTTCGAAATAAATCGATATACAACTTTTTAATCCCATTTGATAATAGTGCGGTTCAGGATGTTGTGGAAATGGTCTTGGACTTGCAGTTAGAATTGCATTTGCAAATTTTAAGCTTGCTGCCATGACAACCGTGTGCATTTTATTGTTGTTAATTTACAAATGCAACGAATATGCAAATGCAAGAGCATATCGACCGCTGAGTGGAAGATCGACCTATCTCGGCTGCCAGTTCGAAAACGCCCTATCTCAAAAAACGTTTCAAGAACGCCCTACTTCAGAATTTTATTGAAAAACACTCTATCTCAGCATTTGGTTGAAAAACGCCCTATTTCAGAATTCGATTCAGCAACGCCCTATCTCACTTCAAAATGAATTGAAAATGTGCGGATATAGGGCGATTTTGAATCGGCAGCTGGGATAAAGCATTTTTGAAATGAATTCTGAAATAGAGCGTTCTTCAATCATATTCTCAAATAGGACGTCTTTGAAAAGTTTTTTGAGATAGGGCGTTTTCGAACTGGCTGCCGAGATACATAGGTCGACCTGAACAGCCCTAATTTATTTTTATTTGATTTGCAGAGAATGTACGCTACTGTTACTCACACTCACTACAATTATATCTACGTTCTTTGGTAAAACCAAACTCGCTCAACAAATTTTACGTTAAGCGAGTGGAACTCAAACTTAGGGAGCAGAGAATTGGCGAATCGAAGGCTGGTTTTATACACCATGGTGGCACGAACACAAAAATAATATTCCACCTTATAAGAATTCACCTTGATATTTTGCTTCCCTGGAAAGGAATTAGTATATCCGTTACATAGGAGGCGTCAGTTCTCGTATTACCTTCAACACACTTGTGTCCTGAGACTCGATACAGGTGGCCGGTTTTAACCGCCGCAAGTTTTCTTATAATCTTCTTACGATCAGCGACGGTTGTTGCATTTTTGTTATATGAAAGTACACAGAGCATTAATGGCGTGAAAATCTGTGTAAATGTTTATCTGCTCGCTTGGCAGTTTAATTTCATGCAGCATCTTTCCCGATTTCTTTATTTCAAAGATTTCGGCTTGATAGAAAGTTCGGTGCAGTATACTGCAGGTTCGGTGCAATATACTGCAGCTCCTACTGTTCCGTCCATCTTAGAACAGATTGTGCAGATGTGCGTTGTTACTTTTCAGCTCCACGCCCTTACGCAAACCGTCAACGTCTACTGTAGCGTATAGAGACTTTTCGAAAGTCAGATGCGGGATCGTGTAGTGTATTCGCTCGATTAAGGATGACGCTATACCACTGTAACTGTACGTTCTGAATACAAACTGTCCTGAAGCCCCAGTTGTAAACCCTATGTTCTTGGTCACCAAGTTCGCCGGTGGCTTGTGTAAAATTTGCTTCTAGAGCTGTTGTCGGTGTTGTCCTGAAGGCACCCGTTTTACTGATCATTGGCAGCCGGTAAACACTCTCCAGTCTTATACGGTATGTCTTCATTTTCGTTTGTGTCCACCATATCAATACCCCTAAAAATGGCTTAACGACTGCTGTGAATATAATTCAGTTTCTATGACAGTTTGTTGTCCAGCACGATTTCAAGGTACTTCCTGTTTGGCTTTGGTTAAAGCGTAGCCTCCCCCAGTTTGGGTTTATCCCGAGCTGGCATCTTGTATTTCCTAGTGAATAATACTAAATCAAGACTGATCTGTGTTAAGATTACCATAGCATGGCTGCCTGTCTTCTATATTCGCCAGCCATTTATAATCCACAAACGAAGTGGTGATAACTTCACTCCCCGTAGCACCATCTAAGCCCCTCTTGCGCGGAGATCTTTTTACAGCCTAACATCTTGCTTATCCACGAACGAAGAGCATGATTGGCCCCTATTAAAGCTTATTTTGAGACGTTATTAAAAGCTAGATATAGCCAGAAACGCTCCGAAATCAAATTCTCAATTTTCCATTTCTCCTTCTGTCCATATAACAACATTGCGGAGAGCCATATCGACTGATCTGACTTAAATATAGGCGTACTGAGCTTCTCTCATCGATCTGTACATTTATTAGAGTTTTCTAGCATTTTGTTACCAGCTTTTTTAAGCATTGCTGGGAACATAACATCAAAGTATGCAGCGCCCATTCAATTTTTCCCGCGGTTACCAAACTTTCCAGTCAGATCTGACCCTTGGGTTTTCATTCCTGCCAGGAAATGTGCGTTTAGTAAGATATCGTGTGATTCTTCGCTACTCTGAACTCAAGTTCCATCCTCTGCCCTAATAAGTTTATGTACCTTATTACCTTTAGATAGATCGTTCCTTATACTGACGGTCTAGGATGAACTTTCTATGCTGCCGCAGCTTTGCATGAGCTTCTCTAAGCCTTTCTTATTTATTTTTTGTAGATCTTGTGTAAATCTTTGTACTCCCTGCATTGTGTGGTTCCGCTAGCTCCGTTAGCCGTCTCTCGAACATGAAGGTTCTCTATCACGGTGAGCTGGAGTCATCGTCAAAAACGTAAAAGCCCTACCTCTAAAAAAGCTATGTCATTGCGTACGCTGATGACATAGCAATTGTCCAAGGAATGTTGACTTATCATCAATTATCCCAAGACTTACTCTCTTAACCGAGGTTAAATATCTTGGAGTTTTTCTATACAAGAAACTTGACTGAAAGCGATACTTAGAAGACTGCCCCAGGAAGGCCAATACCGCGCTGTATGCCTTTAAGATGGCTATGTGCAAAAAATGGGGAATAAAACCATATAAAGTATACGGGGTCACCGTCTGGTACCCTGCGCCAAGGTGGAACGAGTGCAGATAACGGATTTCATGCTAGTCTCTGGAAATAACGATAAATTTACCACCTGTGGATCTCCACGGCAAAGTTCGGGCCAGCTGTGCAGCCTGGTTTAGTACAATTCAGTCGTAGATATACCTCAGATTTGGACACGCCAAAGTCCTTGAAAATCTACCGGATAATCTACGACAGCTAGATTATACCACTCCTCCACTCTGCTAAGACAACAAATTCTCCATAATAGTCCCGGAGACGAACGAATGGGAAGGTGCCACAGACTTAAACTCAGGGTCGACGGCTATGTATACAGATGGCTCTAAACTTAACAAAAGAGTGGGTAGCCGAATATACACTGATGGACTCGTGCTAAACCTCCGCTTTCGCATACCGGACCATTGTAGCGTTTTTCAAGCAGACCTAAACGCCATAGTGAAGGCCGCTTGGAGGCTCATAACCTCCGTCTCTTCAGGACGGCTTATTGCTATTTATTCTGGCAGCAATACTGCTATCAAATGTCTAAAATCTAATAGAATAATGTCCAAAGTATCCATAGAATGCAGGAAGACTCTCAACCTGTTGGCATCAAAATGGTCTTTAGCATAGTATAAGCGATGCTTAGCTCTTACTCGGCTGAACCGCTATTCTCTCAGAATAGTAGTCGGGTTAATCAACGGACACTTCCTGATGGGTACGCAGGGAAAAGGCGAACACACCAAAAAAACGCAGTTGCAGAGACGAGGAAGCGGTGGAGAAAATCGAACATGGTCCTGCTCTGCCCAAAACGCGACACCAATTCTTCAATAAGTACATTTTAAATTGTTTAGCCGACCTGAACTCGGCTATGTAAAAAGCACCTGGTGGTTCAATTATTAAGGGAGGGAAAGAAACAAACAGTGGTAACACAACGAGCTTTTCCAGCCAGTCTAACCTAACCTAACCTATGTTATATGTACGCTTCTGCAAATCGGTGCGGAATATGCCCCCGCAAATCTATGGGTTTCAATACTTAGCTCATTCAGTGTTGTGAGCGTGGCCAAAAGTAGTATGCGATTGAATGCAATCTCGATATTAGGGACTCAACCTTCCACAAAAGTCTTGCCAAAAATGAACTCAGCGACTGAATGCAAGTCAGATCCGATTCGACTAAGCTATTTGCCTACCATCATTTAACACACAGGAATGGATAAAAACTGATTTCTTAAAATCCGCTTGGAATACGTACCACATGGAGTAATCTTCATCTGCTAAGGGAGAAATGTAACGTTAATGGAGCTTAAAAACTTTGGAAACAATCGTATATTCTGCAGCTTATGCAGATCAAGGCACAATGACGACATCCCGGCTGGGTCCCTCGAAGATGGGATGCATCAATTCGAAGAAATCAATGTTGCCGTCACTGCAAAATTTGTGTCGTAATCGCTTTATAAGCTTAAAATTGCCTACTTTTTCTGCTTGGAATGCAGCGCAGCAGCATACCATTTCTACTAATGTCACAGGCATTGTTTTCTGTTTTTTTTTATTATTTCTTTTTGCAAAGCAATTTTTTGCTGTAAACTTTTTTAGCCACATTATTATTAATGCATTCATTTTAATATTAATTTACAAAAACTGCCTTAGCGCGTTCAATGTCACCCGTATGCTAATCGCGCAGTATTAATCACCTACTTCCTTCGGGTGAAAAATGTAAATACAGCTTTTTTTTTAATAAAACTATTTATTTCATTTATGCATTATTATTAAAGATACATTTGATCCATTTCAGTACAAATATTATAAAAAATATTTCATGTAAATGCTTATTTAAAATTTCACCCTAACCTATTTATGTATAGAAAAAAAGTCCAACAAATACTCCACTGTGATTATAAATATTTTACCTATTTAACCCCTATAAAAGTGTGTGTATTTTAACAAATTTTTATAACAACAAAATTTCCATAAAACCTATCTACTTAGTTGACAAAGGCATAAAAAATTGCAACAATGATTATTGTCAATTCATACAGTTTATATTAACTTGAAAAAAAAAACTTTCTACCATGAATTTTTAAAACATTTATTACTTATAGTGTGGCATACATACATATCTATATGGAAGTCCATGTAACACTATGACTATCGGGAGGAAAATATAATTGTATATTTACTTTCTAAACAAAATGATCAACAAGTAGTTGACGCCGTTGACCACTATTACTACTTCAAGTAACCTGACTTAAAGTACCGAATAAACATCGGTGAACAAATTGGCGCCGAATTTGCGGGATGATCTTCATGAAGAACAGCGTATACATACATTTGTATTTGTAGTATATACATAAGTGTAACCAGCGTTTTTTCAACTGCTCGCGCTGCTTTCTCATTCCGTTTCATTGCACGTACATATTTAGGTATATGTCTTTGATATTTGCATCCGTTCAGTAAGCTACCGCATTCTCCACGCTAACTCAATAACCAGTTTCCGGTTCCTGTTTCAGTGTCATGCGATACGCATTTTCGGCGTCATGTAGCCCACCACCTCCACCACCACCCATCATGTACCCACCGCCACCGCCACCGCCAGCGCCACTGCTCAGCGCATCAGGTCCGCGTATTTTGAGTGGCGCGCGTCGCAACATCTCCTCGGCGCTGCCGCTATTGTATTCGTTCAGCGTCATCTCAGCCGGATTGCGTAGCTGTTGCGCGCCTGCGCCGCCACCATTATTATTGGCAGCAGTATTCATTTGTTCAGGCCTTTGGTAGGGATGATTACGATGCAGCGGCGGTGAGTGCTGCATTAAAGCACCAGCTGACATTTGGGATTGACTAGGCGATGGCGATGCATGCGGATGCTGCTGCATATTCGATGGCATATGTGGCAAGTTGTGCACACTGCCAGTTGGCAGTGGACGTAAAACACCAACAGCACTTGAGCTATAGATGCTATTCTCATCCATATATGGATTGTTGTTATTGTTATTGTTGGAGGCTCCATTGTGCATATCAGCATTTGACGATTCTGGGTCGTTGAGCTGCGGTGAATGCATTGAACGCGTATGATGTGGTGTTGCAGAGCCAGTTGAGTGTTGTTGCTGTGTGCGTTGCGTCGGATTAGTGCGCATAGTGTTATATTGCGTTGGCGGTGAAGATATATTCTCGAGCAGCGGCGACATCATTTGAGCATCCAGGCTGCTGCTGTCCATACACGCTGATAAGTGGTCGGCGGAACTGGGCGACGTAAGTACGTCCAAAGTTGATGTCACATGGCTCGAATCCATGTTCCGTGTTGGGCTGTAGTTGTTCAAGCTTGGCGGCGAGAGTGGCGAGTTGTCGGCCAATTCACCTAATAAAGTTGAGTACATTAGATAAGCATGAGATGTGGGAAGAATAGTGATCTTGACGTACCTCCAAGTAGCATTTCCTGCAACAGCGAGTCAATGTGAGCAACTCCGAAAATTTTCGCAAACTGTATCTGTTCGATCATTTGCCAAGTGATAGATTGCAGTACAGGCAGTATTAAGAGGATTTCGCCAAAGCGACCGCGTGACTCGTACTGTCGGTCCGATACGTAATCTTCCAGATTGTTAAGGATTTGGTGACGTAACGTCTTGATGCGCTGTGGTTCGTTAAGACCCTTCGCGTCTAGCAAGATACAAACAACCATAGAAATATTAATAACAATGTAAAAATTTCGAAAATTCTCTAACCCTGCTGCATTAAAAACAGAAAAGGTTTCTTGAATTCACTCACTTGGATCGAAAAACACCAAAGCCTTGATGCATGCCAATTCCGTATCATCAATATTCACATCTCTCAGCGCAAAAACAAGCTCATCAATGATTCTAGCACCGATTCGCGAGATATCTAAGTTTGGCGAAAGACGTGCGTCTAAAACGAAAATACATCGCATTTAGTATTCTTCTATTTACTTTGTCATTTCGTTCGAATATAATAATAATAATAATAATAATAATAATAATAATAATAATAATAATAATAATAATAATAATAATAATAATAATAATAATAATAATAATAATAATATCCCAACGGTTTTAACCCTCCATTCCCGCCCATCCGCACGAGCGGCGCAGTCCGCATGACGAACGGAACCAGTATTTTAAATTTTTGCGCCGAGTCACGATAGGCAGGAGTTTGTTAAGTGTCTAGATCTAAAACTGTTCAGCTACAGAACTAAATTCATCAGCCGATTTATTTTATGTCTTTATTTTAATAATTCATTTATTGAGAGAGGACAGTATCGATTTCTTAATGCTGAAAAGCGGATCTGATATATCAAACGTGCTGGAATGAGAGTTAAAATCCTGGCATAAGGAACGGAGTGGGTCGTGCAATTCAAAATTAGTTTTACAAGCTTTCAGAAATAGGGGGCAAAAGTGTCTTGATACCCGGGAGGGAACATTAAGGCTAACTTCGCCAAGAAGAAGCGGACTTGAAATTGAGCCTGTTAGTAATTTAACTATAAAAAATTGTACCAAGCATTTGCCTGCGGCTGGAAGTGTAGGAAGATTAATAAGTTTTAATCGGCTCGCATAAGGCGGAAGGTTATATTGAGAATCCCAACGGAAATTTCTTAAAGCAAAAGGGAGGAATTGTTTTTAAATTGATTCTAACTTGTCTGAGTAAATTTGATACCTTGGATTCCAAACCACCGAACCGTTTTCCAGAATTGGCCTAACTAATGTTGTAAACAGGGTTTTAGTGATATAAGGGTCACAAAATTCTTTTGACCATCGTTTCACAAATGCAAGTACACCTTTAGCCTTGTTGACTGTCACATTAATATGAAGATTAAAATTAAGCTTAGGATCCATTGTGATACCAAGGTCCACAAAATTGTATACCTGTTCCAGGTTATGGTTACCTATTGTATAAGAAGCGGGATGAACAGCTCTTCGCGAGAAGCTCATCACTTTACATTTCTTAAGATTTAGAGGCATAAGATTTACTTGACACCAGTAAGCCATGCTGTCTAAGTCTGATTGTAGCAAAGACCTTTCTTTAATTGAAACGTACGACTTACAAAGCTTTACATCATCTGCATACATTAAAATTTTGGAAAATTGTATATCTGTAGAAATATCGTTTATAAAAAGCAAGAACAGAACCGGGCCTAGGTGGCTACCTTGAGGGACTCCTGAAGTAACATCAATGACGTCAGAGATAGTATTTTTAAACATTACCCTTTGTGATCTATCATAGAGGTATGAAGAGCTCCAACGTAGAAAATTAGGTGGAAGACCAAGAAGATCAAGTTTGTAGTTGAGCAACGAGTGGCACACTTTGTCAAATGCTTTACTGAAGTAAGTATATATAACACCAACAGATTTGCTTTCAATAAATGCTTTTGAGATATAGGATGTTAATTCAAGTAAATTTGTAGAAGTTGATTTGCCTTTGCAAAATCCATGTTGACTATATGAAATGCTAGAAGAGATATAATGCGTCAACTGATTTGTTATAATTGCTTCAAATAATTTAGGAATTGCAGAAAGCTTAGCTATTCCCCGGTAGTTCTCCACTGAAGATCCGCTACCGCTTTTATGTAACGGGGTTATGAACGATTCCTTCCATATAGTTGGCAAAACGCCCTCTTTAAGAGATAAATTAAATAACGCTGTTAACGGCTCATAGAGATAATCAGAACAATTTATAAGAATACAAGTAGGGATCTGGTCAGGACCATAACTGAAGGACTGCTTTAAGGATTTCAGATAAACTACTACATCATCGGGAGATATTCCTGGGATATTTATTGAGTTCATTGGACATAGTTTAAGAGGATAGTCAATGTTAGCATGTGAATTAATGGAATAATTGGATTTAAAAAACTGAGCGAACATGTTAGAAATTGTTTGATTATCACTAGAGACGGTATTTTGATACTTCATGGCAGAAGGAAACCCACGTACATCTCGCTTGGAGTTTACGAAGTCATAAAATGATTTGGGGTTATATATTATACGCCGTTTGATTTTACACAAGTAAGCTTTATAACACTTTTTGTTTAATTCAAAAAACTTATGACGCAAAAGTGAGTATTTTACATAGTATGAGTGTAAACCGGTTCTTTGTGTAATCTAAAATAACGCGACCTTCTGTTTTTCAAATTTATCAGTTATTTAGTGAACCATAACTGTGTTTGCACATGCTTTTCAAATAATTTATGTAAACTAAAGTTAAAAAGTTAACGATTTGTTCAATATTTTCCTTTAAATGCAGGCCACGACAATTTAGACAGTTCTTTTTTAAGCATTTTAAAGTCGGCTTTCGAAAAATCTAAGCGAATATTTGGTTCGTATGCTTGGGTACTGCAATTTTGACTATCACTTATAACTTCGTAAGATACCTCCATAGCAGGGCGGTAGACATCTTCGGGCAAAACTAGTGGATCACACTTCACCACATCAACATAAACAAGATCTAATACTTTACGAAACTTATTGTGAAGTACATTAACCTGAGTTAGGCAGAGTTCAGCCATCTCCTCTAAAAATACGTTGTTGCGCGCACTAGACGCGAAAGGTATGATATCATTGTCAATGATGTTCCATGATATGCTTGGTAAATTAAAATCACCCAACACAATCATTGAATCAGAGGGTTTAGTCAGTAAATTAACCGATTTCAGTAAAGAGATGAGTCGTGAATACACCAATGTGTCAGATCGGGGGAGGGATATAGCATAGAGCTAAGTAAATAGAATCATTTCCAGCCTATACACGAATGCATTTGAACTCTACTGAATCAATGTGTGGAAGACTAACTTCTTCAGAAGTTAGCCACCGCCGATTCTGTCCTCCCTATCTTGTCTATAGATATGATAATTATTTGGAAGAATCTCTGAATTGAAAATGTGAGGTTTCAGCCAAGTTTCAGTAAAAGAAAGAATATTATAATTACATTCAAGGCCTTTAAAGTATAAGTTCGTTAATTTAGTATTTAAGCCTCTTACATTTTGGTAATAAATACTTAAAGCAGATTTAATAATTCGTTTTTTTGATTCAGTGTTATGACGGGGAATATTAGCTAAGTTATTTACTTTTTTGTGCCTATATTCGAATTCACGAACGAAAGCTCCGGGGGGGCCAAAAAGAACTACTAAGCAGCGCATTAAAACTATCTAAATTTACGTCAATTTTAAATGAAGCAATATTTCTTTCGTAATTAAAATTAATTTTTCTGATGCTTAAGTCGACAGTTGTAATTTTTGATGAGATAAAAAGCTTTATATCGTCTTCGGTAGTGTCTCTCGAAAGTCTAGAAACAAAGATTGATTCTTTGGCGGAGCCACAACTAGTTTCCTCGTATCAGACTGGACTACCGGCGGAGGGGGTTGAGTTACTGCGTTAGTAGTTGAGGATAGGGAAGGCGGTGGAGGCTTTGAAGATGATACCACCACTACTTAAATGGGGGAAGGGGAAGATACTTCATTATTATCCGAAGCAGATTTCGTTACACGGTCTTTTGAGGCTGAGGATTCTGATGCTGGAGGACACGGAGAAGATAAATTAATTAAGTCCGTCGGAAGATTATTCTGACGTGCAACGGCAGCAATTTCCTTAGATGGACTATGAAGACGCTTACGTTTAGACACACGCATATCCTTAACAGATTGCAAGGTATCTAAGCATTTGAATGATTTAAACATATTTTCATAATGCTTAAATTTTTCTGAGAGTACCGACAATTCTCTTCCTATTTCTGTAAAACCATTTCTGGTTTGCCTAAATAGCTTGAAAAGATCAACTTCGGTTGACCTGCACTTTACGCAAGACCAGCGAAGGTCCTTGCCATCATTATTAGCGTGCAGAATTCTTCCCGTCAAACCAGCACATTTCAGATAGTAAATACCATCACACAGCCAGCACGATAAGTAGCGTTCAGAATCGCTTTTAATTTGGCAAGTATCAAGATCGCACTTCATATTGAAAGATTTATGTAATACACTCGTTAATAAAAGACAAACAAAATAAATTATAACAATTAAGGAGGTGATGTAAATAGCTTTAAATAAATGTAGCCAACAGTTTGAATATCACTGTAATTATGACACTTAATAAACGCCACGCAAACAGCTGTGACAAGAATTACTAGAAGAAGTAAACAAAAAGAGTAGAACAAATGCGCAAAAACAAAATGAATTCAGTTAACTACAAAGGATACAAGAACAATGATAGCAACAAATGACTCGGCAAAATTAGAATATATGCTAGTGAAATTTAATTAAATTTACTTTAATATAAAACCAATAACTTTCACTTAGCTTCAATTACTTAGTAAGTAGAAAGCCAAAATCAAAGCACAATAAAGTACAACCTCACAGGTTGACGTTTGCTAGGTCACCAACCTGGACAATGCTTTGTGATGACACAGTTGTTGCCCAACAATAGCACATCTTTCAAGTGCATAGAGCGGCGTGACAAACCCAGCAACAGGTGTTCGCCAGCATGCGCGCGCAGTAACGCCACTTGATCGTCCAGCTGCAGATCATTGAATGCTGGTATGTGTTTGGCCCATTCGACAAGCGTCAGCAGCTGTTGTTTCATCGATTCACACACATCGTTGATGCTGGCAAATTGTTTATTTGAGAGATCTTCATTCGGATTGGTCTCCATAGCGGCACCCGCTTTCGACTGACGGCTCTCAATCTCTGCCTTCACCAGCGATATGACGGACAAACCATTACCCGGATCGGGATCTTCATTCGAGGTGCGACGACAGCTAATGCGATCGCGTTCATTTTGAACGGCCTCCTTTTTCATGCCCGCCTTGAAGCATTTGCGCAACCGACAATACCGACACTGGTTACGCTTGTCCTTGTCTACGACGCAATTCCGTGAGAATCTGTTTAGGAAGTAGAGCAACTTTACTTAATTGATAGCTCACTTTTATGATATTTTACCTGCAGGTATATTGGTGATTCTTGCGCACGCTGCGTCGGAAGAAACCTTTGCAGCCGTCACAACTGGAAGCACCATAATGTTTACCGGTGGCGCGATCGCCACAAATTGCACAAACATTCGATGATTGTGAGTTGTTATTTTGCGCAAATGAGTTATTATTATTATTGATGGCAGCGGTATTGCTGCCACTAGTGGATAAGTTGCCATTGCTATTGCTGTTGCCACCGCTCAGACTTAGTGCAGGACTAAGGGCCTGACTGCCACCCGGACTGTGGGCGGAAGCGTTGCTGAGGGACAGCGATGGCTCCATACTGTGCAGCATGTGACTCTCAGCATCTGCAAAAAGAAATGAATAGAAAAATTACTTTTGTGTAACTTGGTGTATGTGAGTTATAAGTAGAATACAGTTACTAAATTAATTGAGCACGGGTGACGTTTTTCAAAATTCAGAAGTGGAATATGACCATTTTTGCTTGTTGTTCCAGGAAACGGAAGGGAATTGAAATGTCCCTAACTATGCAGCTTTGTTCTCTGAAGATTGTGTTAGCACTACACTGTGTTATTTCATTTTTGACTTGTCTGTACTTTTAAGCTTAGCGCCGCATAGTTGGGAAAATGAAGGTGGTCACAATACTACGGGTTTCAAAACTTCTCCAATTTTAAATTTAGGTTATTTTTTTTTTTAATAAAAGCTGATGAAATTCTTTGTCAATCAGTGGAAGCCGACTTTTGAAAAATTGTTTCAAACTAATTTTTTTTTTTATAACCGAGTTGATTTTTTTTTGTAAAAAATAATTCTAAAAAATTAATTTCTGTCCATAAAAAGGGGCACCTTAGTAATAACCACAAGTAGTAAAAATGTTTGCAAATAGTTTGTATTTTGTAGATTTACTATTTTTGTATCCAATTTTAAAAATCAGATATGTTTTAAAAATAGAAGTTATGAACTTTTAAAAGTATATATATCTACAGATACACCAAAATTTTTGGGAGTTTTCATTGGGTAAATTTGAAAAAAATCTTGCTTATCAAATTTTTGCAACTTTGGCCATCGCTTACTTAAACAATTTCTATAAAAGTTGTTAAATATGTAGTATGCATCGAAAATTACGATTCTTTGCGAACATTAAACAAGTTTCTATTTAAAAAACTTCATACAAAGTTTATTTTCAATAGATTTTTTTCTGCACTTCACAAAACTTTTTCGAATTCAGGACAAATAAAATGAAGATCTAAATTGTACGTTATCATTTTGAAGTTACGTCTGACGAAATTCAAATCTGCGACCATCTACGGCAGAATATGTTAACAAATATATAATACTAAATAAAGTAAATAAATAAACAAGTAAAAAAAAATATTATTTTTGTTATTGATATTTTATGTCCAAAAGTGGTTAGTTACAAGTTAGTTGACATCTAATGCAGAGGTAACCACCCTTAACTATATCGCGGCCATCGCCATACAAATATAGTTAGGTTTCCTCAAAGAAAGTATACAGATAGTAGTGACCTTTAGTTCCTTCCTAATCAACTTTAAGTTAACTGATAGTTAAGTACATTTCCTGCAAGGTATATACTATAGTACCTATGTAGGAATGATAGGTTATGCTACGGCGATAAGACAGTTCGGTTTCTATGCTCACGGATTGAATAAGAACAGTCGGTTTTACATGACAGATTTCATTTTACATAAGAACAACTTTTAAATTTAATTAGAGTTATCTAAGTTGAGCGATAGTAAAAAAATACAACTGAAAACATTTAACGAAATTAATCAAGCAAACTATATACATAAATATATATATATATATATATATGTACAGATAAAAGCATTTTTAATCGCATGTGCACACAAATGTATTTTTTTAAATATGTATGTTTATAACTACATATGTATGTACATATATGTATGTATGTGCAACTGTATCCTATTGGCAATCTTGTCGAGTATTTTTTTGATCTGAGCGTGTATTTATTCCGTGCTAACATATAGAAACTGTCAAGTCATCACAATAAACATGTCTCATATCATATCAAGCGTAGCGTCTTAGTCATATTTAAGGTCTTTTTTGCAAAGAAAAATATAATTAAATTGTTCAATAGTAAAATTGAAAATTATATTTACAATTTAAACAATTTCAGCATTAAAGCTTATTACGTAGATACGAGCAGAAAGTAAAATTCAAACAAAAAAAAAAAGCAAAAATAAATAAATACAGAACTTGTCGGGCATAGCCCTCAGAATTTCGTTTTAATTCTAAATTGACATACTATGTAAATATTCCTGCAGTGGTATAGGCATATACATACATATATATTTCACATATCTATGTATTTGTTTGCGGCTGTTTTCGTTAACATGTATTTATCAATTCATGTCTCTCGTTCTTTTGCTCCCATCTTTCTTATTTGACTTCAAGTGTCTAGTAGGGCATGCGCAGAAATACCAAAAAAAAAACAACAACAAGCAGCTGTTAATATATTCATATAAAATTTAGCAAATACATATCGTCGATGATACTGCAAAACGGTGTACATACCCGGAATGCATCTGCAAATCCGTATACTCTCATACATTTATGACAATACTATCTATCGTTGGCTGCTGAGAGATGAACACCTAACAGAAGTGATCAGTTACAACTGATAGATCATTTAAGCACCAGAGATAATAGCCCTGTTCGCGTACGCACTATCCAGTAAATCCAGTACTAATTTTACTGGTTTTTTACTGGATGTCGTTTTCGTACACAAAAACTTGCAAGAAACTAGCAAAAGAGGGGAAATTGAGAGAGCAAAAATGACAGCTGAACTTGCAAGTTTTACTGGATAAATTTTTACTAGCAACTATTTGCTAGTAAGAAAAACAACTGATGGCATGATGCTTATTGTAAATCACATTAAGAAAATAATTGTTTGTGGTGCTTATTAGAGTTGGAATCGGCAAAATAAACCCATTTAAAAATATAATAATATGGAAAACACTAGTTTTCTAAGAAATTGCATCGGAAAATAACAAATTAATCAGCTGTTCATAAAACTAGCAACTTCTTGCTGGTTTTGCGTTTTCGTACTTTCTTGCATATTTCACTCATTGGGAGTAAATATTGGCTTACTCTCCGAAATTTGGTTACTGAAAAGTTACTGGATATTTTTTGCTGGAGAATACGAAAACACAACTAATAATTGACATAGAACGTTTTGCAATGTCACCGAGGATATATAGCAAAGAGATGTTTTTGCGGGTTTTTGCCTTAAATTGTGTGCGCGTCTATTTGAGTAAAAAATAATGTCGCGTCTATAAAAATGTACTTTTCCCACATAAACAATACTGCACATACACATTTGTTTAATAATAGATTGGCGCTTACACATATGTTAGTGTTTGGCCGAGCTTCTCCTCCGATTTTGTGGCGTGCGCCTTGATGTTGTCACACAAAGCGGAGCGACCTACAGTTTTACGCCGACTCCGAACGGCGATTGTATTTTTATGAGAACTTGTTTTTCATGGCAGAAATACACTCGGAGGTTTGCCATTGCTTGCCGAGTAGCGACCGCTGTTTAGAAAACCCCTTTTTTCTAAATTTTTTTACGATGTCGATTTGACCAGAGTTTGGACCCAGGTCCTGCGGAGTGGAAGCGCGCACTGCTTACCATTATGTATGTGTGCACATAAATAATTACCGAACAAACATTGTGGAGAACGTTCGAAAAATATCGTCGATATCTCATTTGAATATCGAATGCAAATATACTCGAAATGGATTCGAAAAACAATGAAAACCATGGTAACAAGAGATGAAGTAAAATCCAGCTCACTCTCAAAGGGAAATATAAGACAATAACTCACTCACAATAAAATTTCAATTCGAATACTGACCTTTTGCACAATCGCTATCGAAGGTGAGATTCGAAAAAAAGATTAGAATTTTTTTTATTTGACAGGAGAAGCAAAAAACATTTTGAAAAGAGTATCAAAAACAGGTAGGGTTTTTTTAAAAGTGGCTTGTAACTTCATAGGTTTTGGTACTAATACTTTAAAATTTTTACTGAACGTGTTGTTTATTTAATACCTCCTATCAAAATCTTTGAAAAACGAAATTTCGAAAAAAGTGCTGGTTAGGGCCTTTTTGAATTAAGGCGAGGATATGTGAAAGGCTGTTTATATTTATTATTTCATGGCACCCTGTTCCGCGCATATAGAATATTTGTAGATGTTGTCCTTCTTTGTTATGTACATACACTTAATATTTTTCTACATATTTCTATTTAAAAACACTGAACTACTAAGAAAAAATTGTGTACATTATTGCTGACGAGAGTGACAATAAAAAAGTGGGCATGTCATACCATAACAATATTTTCGAAAGCAAACAATCTTTGGATTGTAGTTTATTTTTAGCTAAAAAGAGAACTGGGGTGAACTTAATATGATCTTGAATATGTATGTATCTATGTATGTATATGTAGGCATGAAAATTTTAAAGCAAAGCAAAGATGGCAAACTGAAAGCATAGTTAGCGAGGCATATATTAGGAATGAACAATCAAGAATTCGGAATAACAACTTTTATTCAAATGGAATAACCCTAAGCGCACTGAAGTCGTACCATTTTTTAACCCTGTAATCATAATCGATCTAAGAAGGCCCTTTTGGTCAAAGGTACTTTAAAATAAAGTCGACACTCGGTTTTAGATTGTGCATTGCTGGATTCGTATTCTAAATCTTACGATTGCTTGAAGAATCTCACAAAACGAAAATTAGTCCTCCAAGGAGATTGTGCCACTTTTTTAATCAGTCACATGTGATTTCTATGCCCGCTAATCGAAGCGCTTATGCACGTAAAATTTAAAATTTCATGCACATATGAGCAACAATTAAAATCCAGTGCTCGTAACAAAGCGCTCATGCAATTGGCGTATTAACCATCTAGGAAAATCTAAATTAAAGTTTGAGTTATTTATTTTCTATACATACTCTGTAAATGGCCGTTAGGTCTAATGGTTGAAAATGGGGTTTGATGTGTTCCACAGAAGGTTGGTTTGGTCATGAAGCAATGTGCTAACAGTAGCATGGGATAAGGCTATTCTTTTTTATGTAAATATGTATGATATTAAGTGCGTATGGAATCGGCTGAATTCGACGTGATTCGAATTACCGTCAGTTTCAGCGGGAAATAAATGTAAATGCATGTTTTTTCGCTTTAAGGTCTTCATATTGAAGTATGTTACCAAAAATACGCTCTACAATAACTGACTCCGAATATCTTTAGATCACCAGACGATGAGGTATCATGTTGAATTAAAACTGGCGCAATCAGGATCCATTGAAAAG